CCTCTTTATATAGCAGTGACGTGCGGTGAGGTTCATGGCTGGTGAGACACTGACTCACTGAGTCAGATTTACAAATATTATATTTTGACCTTAATCGAAATATTCGGTTATTTTCAAAAGCTTTTTTTAGTCTGATGCTTCGATTCATTTTAAACAGACCGTTCAACAAAAGGATACCCAAAATCTAAATATTGGATTGTTCTTTCTTAGTAAGATCCCATTTTCATTAGAAATGTGGTCTTACCTTGACTTGAAGATGAAGTCCATGCTATCCTTCTGGACAACAATCTATTACTTTTTTGTAAAAGTCCTCCTTATCTTCCTGTAGTTTCAAAAGTCTAGTTTGTTGTTTGCGTCTACCGTCTCTGTGTAGAATTACAGTAGCAACAAGAACCTGTGGGCTCACGTGCGCCCCCTTCAGTGCGGCAGAGGTTATGGCTGCCTCCCCTGGTGCTTTTTTCATTGCCGTTGTATGATGAGACCAGCGAGCCTAAATATCATATATACGTGAAATAAGTTATTTAGAGACTATGGATGGCGAGGATAAATGTAATAAAGGGATCTACAAACATTACATTGGTGACCTACAGTGAGATGGTAACAGGCATGTGCTTAGTGCCCGCTTTCCAGCCAGTTTCTGTGGGGTGACGCATTCTGAGGTGAGGCAGAGCTCATCTGTGCCTCACCTCACCCCACAGTAACTGGCTTGAGCGCGCTCACAAAATAAGTGCCCGCGCTAAATTAGTGCCCGTGCTCCAGCAAGTTACTGTGGGCTTACGAGAGGCAGAGCACGTCCCTGCCTCACTTCTCATCGCTCCCGTAACGGAGCTCGGCAAATTTGCTGATTTTGACTATAAAAAGCGATTGGAATCATACATAAATCACACTTACAACACAGATCAGTGGAGACATTTTATTATTATTACTATTTCGTTTTTCTTTAGTTGTTTTTCCGTTACATCGGAGTATGACAGGTGAGGCTCTGCCTCCCCTGCCTCCCCTGGCTGCACGTCGCTGTTATATAGGCATTATTCCCTAACAAATTGTTTTTGCGCTGATCAGGGGGTACTTGGCTGAATTTTAAAAAAAAAATTCAAAGGGGGTACATTATTGAAAAAAGTTTGAGAACCACTGCTAAAGTACACATTGGAATGATTTCTTACCTTATTTTTTACAACTATATTGAATAGATAAAGGTGTGCATTGGAAATATGTGTTTACATAAATGGTGAACAAACCGTTTGAGACCCACTGAGATAACTTAGACTAAGGTAACTATCTAATCACTCCTTTACCTCACTAAAGATCACCTATTATGCAAAATCCACTTGTTCATGTCTTTTATACATAAACATGTGTCCCCTCTGTGTAAAGAGATTCTGAAAGTTTCAGGAAAAAAGATTTGCTCACTTTTTGTCCTGATCCATTTATATAAAAACCTGTCTGAAAATGAGCTGATCAGATTTTGGCCATCTTAAGATGTCATAATGATTTTTTGGCTTGTGTAACCATTAGCCAATAACCAACCAAGGTAACATGCGCGCGTCCAACACACACACACAGAGGCTGTGTAATCCTCCGTGGCAATGACCTCTTGCGTAATTTTTTTTTAAATTAAACACATTTGAAAAGCGTGGGGGACACAAACAGGATTTTGAAAAGTGGGGGGGACATGTAGGCCTGTCACGATAAGCAATTAATTGACTTATCGTACGATAAATAAAAATGAACTCGATAACTTCTCTGACCTCGATAAATTGCCGTTTACATGCGTGTTTGTTTACATAAGGATGTGACCAGCATTTTAGCCAGGCGAGCTGTGTCTGCCGGCCCGGCGCGCTGTGAGGGGCGGGGCTCACACACAGCCAGGTCAGGAAACTCAGCATGCAGCAGTGTAGCAGCCAAATGAATAATATAGAGACAAGCAGGAGACAACGTGTGACTTACTCGAGGGGAATTTGAAATGGAATTGGTTGCAAAACCTAACTCCATCTCCGGTGTGGGAATATTTTGGATTTAAGCCAAATCAACGAGGTGAACCTACGGACATGAATGAGCTGGGTGGTGTGTCACATTTGTTTAAAAAAGGTAGCAACAAAAGCTAGCAATACGACCAACCTTAAACTGCACCTGAAACACAACCACCCCATTCCGTTTTCCCAGCTGGGAGCAAACACGGCAGCTGGAGATGGAGATGGAGAGCCCCCACCTTTTGCAATCAAAGATGCATCTGCCCTACAATGCAAACATGTTGGTGTTCCTTGCTCGAAATCTTTGATTTATACAGATTTGGATATGGCCTGTTGAGGTTTATTTTGCTTGTGAGACAATGTGTTCTCATATTTATTTATTTATTTATTTATATATATATATATATATATATATATATATATATATATATATATATATATATATATATATATATATATATATATCATATATATATATATATATCTATATATCTATATATATCTATCTAATCTATATCTATATATCATATCTATATATAGAGAGAGAGAGAGAGAGAGAGAGCTCTGTTTTCCAGTCTATTTAATTTATTGTTTTGATTGTGTGTGATTTAATTAATCTTTTATAATTTATTTGTTTATATATAATTTATATATTTGAATATTATTTCACATTTCATTTGCAATGTTGAAGGTTCAATAAAAAAGTTCTGTTTGAAAGGATGTACTTGAATTATTATTATATATTATCGTTATGTCAGTGGTCTAAAATGGTCTTACAACGGTGCCGACAATATTATCGTTTATCGCAATAATTTCCGGGAAAATGTATCGTCCAACAAAATTAATTATCGTGACAGGCCTAGGGACATGTCCCCCCTGTCTCCAGTGGAAATTACGCCCCTGGCTGTAGCAAATATATCACAGGGATTCTGAAAATGTTAACGTACAGTTTGAGATGTGATGCTTTAACGTAATTAAGTCTTACATATGGGAGTATGATATTAGGATCATACCTGAAACTTTGTCCTCCAGTTTGACAATCGCCATTTGGCCCTTGGCTGTGATCCTCATTCTACCAGACCAGTCTGGAGAATCCAGCTTCCAGTCAGCTGCCCTGTGGACAATCATGGTGTTAGACTGTAATGTTACGCATACAAAATTGAATATTAAGAGGAAAACATTTATATATAAACTAACAACTATCTGTTTTACAAAGAGTAAATTGGGTCTTTTTAACGGATTGAACAAATTTGACAATACTCATAATCTGTGATTCTGTCGTGTGTCAAAAGGCATTTTATACACATATAATAGAGTTGTGAATGCAAGTTTTGAGCTGAAGAAAGATTTGTTTAATTTTACGAATGCCTACAGATATAAAAGCGTAAACGTATTCAATATGTAACTTATTGTAAGGATTTTTAGAGAACAAGACAATGTATACAGTAGTCTACACAAAAAAGCAGAATTTCAAAACATATTTTGTTTACCTTTTTTCTTTATTTTATATCATTCCTACAGTACAATCGTGTCGTGAGCCTTAAGCCTCCAATTTAAACTACATTTCATAATACATTAATAGTGGTTTGGACATTGACGGTCGCTCAAAATGTTATCATTCCCTGCATGCAGCACACCCAGACAATGTTTACTCACTGTCTCACGTGCAAACATAAAGTCTAACTCTGTATTCCCAACCTCAATCAAAAACTATCCACACAGAAGACAGTGCAAACCGTTTTGTTTCAGTTCAATAGCGTCACTGTGGAGAGAGGACGTCCAAGCTGTCACACAAGAGCGGGACAGTCCTGGCAAATGGCCCGTATCGACCCGGCAGAATGACAACCCCCCCCGTCACAACTCTGACAGCTCAGCCGCTATTGACAACAAAGCGACACACACAACCGGCCAACGATTCATATACTATACATATTTACAACAGGCGACCCATTTCATTTCTGCCTTCCACAGTCACAACATAAAGCCCCCTCTACGTGATGTGAAGCATGTTCTGGCATCGAGCAGTGAAAGTGAAATACCCGCACCGGCACCGAGCGACACCAAAACCCGTTAAAGCACATTCCACAGCACCGTTAACCACCGGCAGGTTCCTCTGTACCTGTATGCGCGGTTTGAGGCTCGCGGCGGGATGCGATAAACGTTGACATCGGGTTTTACGCACAGGATCGACTCGTACTCGCCCTCGGCCGCCATCTTGATTCAACTGTTATTGATGTGGGAGTTGTGGTTGTGACTCATTTATTCGGTGTGTGCGTGTGTGTGTGTGTGTGTGTGTGTGTGTGTGTGTGTGTGTGTGTGTGTGTGTGTGTGTGTGTGTGTGTGTGTGTGTGTGTGTGTGTGTGTGTGTGTGGTACCACAACCGCATCAGAGATGTTATTAATTGTTAGGGTACCTTATCTCATGAAGCTGCTTTAAATTGAAGTAGGACGAATAATGACATGTTTATCAATAAAAATAAACAAATGCTAAAACAAATATTGAAATATATTCGTAAATACGGAAATACATCTTGTACTGAAAAACCCAAATCAATTAAATAAACAAAGATTACTTACATTTAAATAAATACATATTGCAATTAGATGCATACATGCATAACATGAATGCATAAATAAATACAGAACAAATGAATCAAGTCATACTACAAATTAAGAATATAAATAAAAAAATATGTTTTATGTATTTGGAAATTTTTGTTCAACACTTATCTTTTATATGTTTATATAATTGTGTCCTGTTTAATTAAACTTTAATTAATGCATCTATATATTAACTACAGTAAACGTGTATATATTTATTTATTTATAAATGTATTTATTCGCAACATTCTCTTCCTTTTTAATAAATAGCAACATAATTAACGTTCTGCTCAAATGAAATTCTAGAATAGAAAAACAAGGAGCTACTGTATGATTTTGTATTTAAAATAAAATATATGTATTATTATTTTATATATAAAATATATATATCGTGAGGGGGCGTGGACTTGCAGGTACTGGGACTGCGGAAGCGGAAACCGTCGTCGTGTAGTCTCCTGGAAGATTCCTGAAGATCTGCTCAGGGTTAGTCCTTTCATTTTTTCTGCAAATACGCACATTTAATAAACGAAATAACACGCGGCGAGTGCGTGTTATTTTGAACTCATATTAGCGCTGGTTTCTCGAAATACAACCCTTCATTTGTTGGCTAATGTCTGGTATGTACGCTGATTCCAGCTGGCTTGACAACAGGGTTAACCATTAGCCATATTGACGGCTGCTGGCCGTCTTCAGTCGCTCTCCGAGGTCCTGAAAACACGGACCGTGGATCCTCAGAGACACGTTACTACTAAGCATTTCGACTTACAGTTAACATGACTCAGATTGATCATCAATGTGCACTTCAAATGAGGTTTCAGCGTATATTTTCTTCACCTAGCCACAGGAGGCTGGCAGCTAACTAGCTTGTAGCTTAGCCAGATAGCTAACCTTGATGAGAATCTGTGTTTGTCGCAGTGATAATGACAAACTGTCACGAGCTGTCATATAGAGCAGGTGTAAGCACACCTATAGTGTAGCTTTGCAGTCACACATTCATTATCGCATGCTGGCTTTTGTCACTCAGTGCCAACCCGTGCCTCAGCTCTTTTTTATGTTGACTGGTTCCTCCCTGCAGCTGTAGGATCTGGTTTCTGGAATCCTGAGACAAGTCAATGCAGTCAGGGGGAAGAGAGAGCAGCAGGATGAACGCTCTCTGACCTAGCACTCAAAACGTTTAAAAATACATCTTGGACAGCACAGACTTTACAAAGGTATTGGAGTTTTATTTGTTCGAGATTATGTTTAAACGTGTATATAATTGGGGATCATTCTTCTTTGTAAGCATGCAATATTGTTTACAAGTTTTCTCTGAAACAGATTGCGGTGGTTTGATTCCCCACCAACCCTACACACACCATGACGTCCTCCATGCTCCGCCGACAGCTGAAGAACCTGGTCCAGAACTACTCTGAGGCTGAGGTCAAGGTAAATCAACTCTATTTGAAAGGGGTAAAAAACTCAATTTGGCCTTAGCCAGGAAATACAATGCTTTCCTATTGTATTCTTAACTCTAGTTTGGGAAGCATTTATACAAAAGGATGTTTTAATAATAATAATAATAATAATATTAATAATACATTGGATTTTTATAGCGCTTTTCCTAGTGCTCAAAGACGCTTAATTTTTTAACGTTTTTCGCTTTTAATATATCACTACGCAGTAAAAGTGGCATGACATATATCTGATAATGGACACTTTAAATCTGTATACTATTAGCACAAGATGCCATGTTTTAATATCACAAAACAGAAACATCAGTTGATTTGACATTTGAAGGAAACATTGAGATGTGGATGTTTATGGCAAAAATGCTTATCCGATGAAACATGATCTGGAAAGAACTTGGCAGAACAGACTCCTTATCATTTTTGTTGGCATGATGAAATTTGATTTTGGCAAGGATGACTTGCTACATTTTTAATTGGGGTCACTGTTTGTAACTGTGAGCCCTTTGGCACAAGCTGGCATCTGACCTTTGGAATGCAGCCACCTTGGGTTCCCTTAACACTGACATGTCTTGCTTCACTTCCTCTGCAGGTGAGAGAGGCGACTTCTAATGACCCATGGGGCCCATCCAGCACTCAGATGGCAGACCTCTCTGATCTGACCTACAATGTGGTAGCCTGCAACGAGATCATGACGATGCTCTGGAGGCGTCTGAAAGACGACAAGAACTGGAGACACATCCACAAGGTATCAATACACACAAACATGGATTATGTAACAAGACTGTGGTAAAAGTGCCATTCAAACAGTCATTATGGATGTTATGTCAGCTATAAGGGGGCCCTTTCAGGCTCTTTGGGAGGTTTTCCTTTTCCTTCTCTCCAACACACTCCCCCCCCCCCCCCCCTGCCTGAAACGCCTCAATTGTAGTCATTTGTATACTTCTGTAATATAGTGAAATCGATACATAACACTCATAGCACCACGATTGTACGTGAAGGGGCAGGACATCTCTAAGCGGTTAAAAAATAAAGCACTTTTTGAACATTAAAGCATGTAAACATGTAACAGTAGAGGCACAAAATACATTACATTACATTACATTACATGTCACTTGTTAGACGCTTTTATCCAAAGCGACTTACATACATTCAGTACTGTGGATAATCCCCACAGGAGCAATTTGGGGTGAAGTGTCTTGCCCAGGGACACAACGACATGCTGACTGCAGTGGGACTCGAACTTGCTACTCCGTGATTCAAAGTTCAGCGCAATACAATTATAAAACCTGAAAATGAGCAAAATAAGGCCCCTTTAAGATTTAAGTACTTTTGTAGATACAGGACATTTTGCCAAACACCTATTTTTTTGTAAAAGACAATGTGGCTCCCTCTCTGGTGTTTCAAATGGACAAGCCTTCTTTTCAAAACAATGGCTTTTACCATCATGATCTTCATTTCAAATGTTTTACATAATAGTCCATCTTTTACTTAGCATTTCGTACCCTACACCTATTGATTAGGTAATGATTAAATAAATGATAGAAAATGTAATGAAAGCACGATATTCCCCCTAGAGTGATCGTTACATGCTCAGGGATACCCGAAGGTTTATAAGATTAAAAACATTGAATTGCTCACTACCAAAGCAGTATTTCACAGTTTTTATTCAATTGAAATGTACTGGCATTTAGTTGAAGCACTCTCTCTTCCTTCACATGACATTAATTATGTATCTGCTTTTTAGTAAAGACGTCAACTGCACCGCATATCTGCTATTAAGTTACGGGTATCACCAGGATAACATAGCAGTCCATGGTGACTTTGCCAGTTATGTGCCTTTTTTTTTAATTGGCACATCAGTTACACTATAGTCCGCTAAAAGCATTGTGTGTTTTGAAGCTTTTGCAAAGTGTTTATCCTGATGTTTTTTATTTAGCCCATTAAATTCAAACAAAAAACAAGATAAACGATAGAGATTGTCTTTTTCTGTTTCAGTTATATGTATTTCTTTCTCATACATTTCTCATGCCTATTTCTATACAAGTCCCTGACACTGTTGGAGTACCTGTTAAAGACCGGGGACGATCGCGTGCTTCTGCAAATGAAAGACAACATCTACATCGTCAAAGCTCTCACAGAGTATCGCTTTATAGAAAAGGATGGCAAAGATCAGGTAATACTTTTGATAACCATTTAAAAGAATAACATGTATAATAAATGTATAAAAATGACTAGGAATATATTTTACATTATTTTACATTATCCTATCAAATTTACCGTCTGTTTCATTCGGTCTACTGGAACTGAGGCGTATCCCCTTTACACATGCCATTTTACGCTACACTTTCTAGATCTTGGTCATTTTAAACTATTTATTTATCATGGATGAATGATTTTACTCACTAAACATTCAGATCTTGAATTATCAGAGTAAAAAGCTGAGCCAATTATAATCTTCTGAACGATTGACCATAATAAAGGAATCCTATTTTGCTGACTATAATATTGGCAATGGTGGTAAGGTTGTGTATTATTAAAACTAAAATACCCATATCATCATTTTCCTTTTAACCTCTAGGCTAATTTCACAATTAGATAAAACCAGATTCAGTCTTAGATTGGTGTAAATGTAAGAATCTCTTGATTTAATAACTTTCCACAGTGACAATGCTTGATATTTTCAAGCTTACGCAATGTGTACAATTTGGAAGTAGTTTTTTAAGCATCATTAGGATTTTGATGAAAGCTCAGAAACAACATTTCAATCCAATGTAAACATCTCTGTCTCAGGGAGGTAATGTGAGAGAGAAGGCCAAAGTCGTCCTTGTTCTTATGGAGGACGATGATAAACTGAAGGAGGAGAGAGACTTTGCCATCATGACCAGGGAGAAGACGTCAAAGGGTGCTGGTGGTGAGCCCTTTTGTCTTGAGTATCTCTGCTTTACTGTTTTAGTATCATCATCTTTTTTTGTTTGTGTATGTAACACAAATTGTATTCAACCTTTTCTCCATCCCTTGCAACCAGCCTCATCAGTGGCCGTAGTCAAGGATCCCAACTACAAGCCATGCTACGTTGCCGGGACCTCTGGGCTTCCATCTTTAGACAACATACCCTCTGTGGCTGACTTGACTGCTTCCTTTGCTGCTCGCAAAGAGGAGCGTATTAAACAGGAAGCTGAGAAGAAAGACATGGAGAGGAGGGTAAGCGTTAAGCTAGTAGAATACTCTGGTACAGCAAGTACACACACTTAAATACTACACCAGTGCAATATAATGCGGTCAGGTATAACAATACTACAAAGTAGGGCTGCACGATATATCGTGTCGTGACGATAATCGCGATATGCGCATGCGCGATATTCACATCGCGTGGACGTGCGATTTCTTTAATCTTTTTTTTTTTTTTTTTTTTTTTCTTTTTTTTTTTTTTTTAGGACTTGCGATATTAAGTAGGCAAATTAACTCAAACAAGTCATGTTACAATTATTTTGCTACTTGCTACAAAAGGAGTACTTGAGTGAGTGACATGCAGGCTCTGCATGCACAGCAAACCACCAATCACAATCAAATCTCCAAAGCAAACGGACCCGGTGATTAACCTGTTAAGCCCGAGAGACCCCGGTACCGGGGCATTGCCGCAACATCTTGCAGGAAACAGTGTCTGAGGGCATGTTCATTTAATAAAACTATGAATGTTTTATATCCATGTAACGGGAAGAAACTCATCTAACTGATCATTTTTTATTTTTTTTCAAAAGAAAACCCACAATGCTAACACTGAGCCTCTGAATTAGCAAAGAGCGAAAAATGCTAACACCTTACTGCACCGAAAATCACTCACAAAACCTTATTATTTATCTTTTCACCACATCCAACACATCGTTTCACATCGTGAGGTGACACAGGATCTATTGACACCGACATTACCACTGAATTATACGTATTTGCGACGTTATAAGCAAAAACGGACATCAAAACAGGTGACGCTAGGTAGCTAAAAATGCTAACATTTTTACCTTGGCTCTGTAGTCTCTCCAAAGTGGTCTTCAATGGCATTAAAACGATAAAAACGCTGCTGAAGTTAATCCATAGGTTAATCTAATGTGTCTGTGTCCCTTTGAAATGATTTCTGATAATCCATAAGCATTAAAACTGCTTTTCCGTTTCCAGATGTCAAAGCTAGAGATAGGTTCACTCTGATTGAAAATTACATGCGCGCAGCCCCCACCTTTTCTCTTCACAACGTGTGTGTGTGGGGGACTCCCCCTTCAATTCTATTGGCTCTAACGGTCAGAAAGAGGTGTCAACCATCAAAATCGAGCAAGGGGGGGCCAGAGATATGGAAAATCCACCCAAATGACCCCAGAAGTGGTTTATTTTTGCTAAATCTCTCTAAAAAGGTCAAATGTCACTTGTTTTGCATCAATCTTGATACAGGGTACTTATTATATGTTGTACTTTGGATTCCTAAAGCTTTTACTCTACTAACCCATCATCCAAGGGTGGTTTTCACTATAAGTAAAAAATAATTTTTGGACGGACACTATAATTTACAGTTTTTTACTATGTAAAATCTGAATTTTCTTTAAAATAAAAAACATCTATATTGATTCTGACTTTTCTACATCCAACTCACAGGTTTATCATTACTTTGAGAAAAAAGATTATTAATTTAACCCTTTTAGAAGGGAAGATATGGTCATTTGTTCTGGGAATGTCATTTTCGAGCCTGAGACCTGAAAAACAGGCTCAGGGCTTAACAGGTTAAAGGTAAAAACACTGAATAAAGTAGTTTCATGTGTTTCTCCAGGGCAGTTTGGCGCTGCTAACCGAGCTAGCTCAGCTTGTTGCTCTGATAACTTAAGATCCAGAAGTCTGTGACTAAAATCCTTCATCCGGTTAAATATAGTTACAAAAATACCAATTGTATAGCATTAAAGTTCAAGAAAGGATGGTTTGCGGAAAAAAAAACAGTCTTTTCTTCAATTCCTGTATGTTTTCATATTGCAAAATATATCGCAGGGGGGAAAAAAATCGCAATGTCAGTTTTTTCCAATATTGTGCAGCCCTACTACAAAGCATATCCTAAAACATTGTATGTACATCCCTTTGACAAGGTCTCAACATTCTATAACACAGTTTTTGAAGGCAAGAATCAGTTGAACAATGGAGCATTTGAAATCAGAATAAAGCGTTTTTTACAAACATATACCCATTGCAGTTAATTACTCTTCTTAAAAAAACAAGTTCAATATTTTCTGTCAATTGGATTTATTTAGACATACCACTGATGAAGCTATTTGTAATAGTTTAACGTTTACTTCTCTTATTTTTCCTATTTTTATATCCCAGGCCAAGATGAGTGAAGATGAGCTGCAATGGGAGGATGCCGGTAAAGGCAATGATGCTCAAGGAGCTACTTGGGGAGGAGAGAAATCAGAGGAGAAAGAGGAGGAGAAGGAAGAGGAGGTAGAACCAGACCCATGGGGAGCCTCCAACGAACCTAAAAAGGTCACAGATCCATGGGGGGCAAAAACTGATGAAGATCAGTTTTCAGCACCAAAAACCAATGAAGATTCATTTGATGCGCCAAAGAATGGAGAAGATCCTTTTGTAGCTCCAAAAGATGAACCAGATCCATTTAATGCGTTGAATGATGACCCGTTCAACGCACCAAGAGATAGTTCAGACCCCTTCAATGCAAACAAGGATAAGGGAGATCCATTTACTGCTCCAAAAGATACCCCAAAAGTAGATCCCTTCAACAGTGCAAAGGTTGATCCATTCAATGCTCCGAAAGATGATCCATTCAATGCTCCGAAAGATGATCCATTCAATGCTCTGAAAGATGATCCATTCAATGCTCTGAAAGATGATCCATTCACTGCTCCGAAAGATGATCCATTCAATGCTCTGAAAGATGATCCATTTAATGCTCTGAAAGATGATCCATTTAATGCTCTGAAAGATGATCCATTTAATGCTCCGAAAGATGATCAATTCAATGCTCTGAAAGAGGATCCATTTAATGCTCCGAAAGATGATCAATTCAATGCTCTGAAAGAGGATCCATTCAATGCTCTGAAAGATGATCCATTTAATGCTCCGAAAGATGATCAATTCAATGCTCTGAAAGAGGATCCATTCAATGCTCTGAAAGATGATCAATTCAATGCTCCAAAGGACGATCCTTTCACTGCACCAGCATCAACACCCCCTAAAGAAGACCCATTTTCTGCACCAGCATCATCTAAAGGTGACCCATTTACTGCCTCCACGACATCACCTAAAGAAGATCCTTTCTCTGCACCATCCAAACCTTCAAAAGATGATCCCTTTGCTTCTCCAACAACACCACCCAAAGAGTTTTCTTTCAATGCCCCATCCAGACCAACAAAAGCGGATCCCTTTGCTGCTGCAACAACACCACCCAAAGAGGATCCTTTCAATGCCCCGTCCAAACCTTCAAAAGAGGATCCATTTGCTTCTCCAACAACACCACCCAAAGAGTTTTCTTTCAATGCCCCATCCAGACCAACAAAAGCGGATCCCTTTGCTGCTGCAACAACACCACCCAAAGAGGATCCTTTCAATGCCCCGTCCAAACCTTCAAAAGAGGATCCATTTGCTTCTCCAACAACACCACCCAAAGAGGTACCTTTCTCGGTACCATCCAAGCCTACGAAAGAGGATCCTTTTGCTTCTCCAACAACACCACCCAAAGAGGATCCTTTCTCTGCACCATCCGAACCAACAAAAGAGGACCCTTTCGGTGCACCAACGACACCCCCTAAAGAGGACTCATACAGAGTGCCATCCACTCCATCAAAAGATGATGCCTCAGATCCCTTCAATGACCCTCCATTGAGCTCGCCCAAAGAGAGTGCAGATGCGTGGGGAGCCCCTGCTACCTCCCCACCCTCCAGCAAGGCAGATCCATGGGGGGCGCCATCTGCTCCAAAGGAAACAAAAGGCGGAGATCCCTGGGATGACGGAGCAAGCGCCTCCTCACCAATTGAGAATTCCTATGCATTTGGAGATGCATCCAAACTGGACGATGACCCTTGGGGAGCCCCAGGTGAGAACAGCAAATATGTATTTCAAAGATTACCCCTAGATGCAACTTGTAAAATAACTGAAGTTGCTTTCCAAGTTAACATGATGACATTTGGGCCATTTCCAATTGGATGAAAAAGCCAATAGACTCAAATGCTTGGCTTTTTCCTCTATTTCTTTGTTCAGCTGCAGCTACAATAAGCACAGATGATGCGTGGGGATCACCCGCTCCCCCCATGGACTCCTCCGCATCTAGTGACCCCTTTGGAGACGGAGCTTCTAAAAAAAGCGATCCTTGGGGTGCACCGAGCAACGCATCTAACGGGACAGGTACAACCGTCTTTACACTCTGCAGAACATTTATTCCTATGACCCTTCCATTATTCATGAGACTAAAACCTCATTGGTTTCTTTGTACTCAGCAATTAAAACCCTCCCCTCTGATTAAATCAACGTAATCTTTCTGCTGCGTAGTCTGCTAAAATGTATGTTTGATTTCAATCGAGCAAATTCTATGCCAACTGGCTTAGTGCTTGACTGAGAATGGTGATTCTAACAACTTAACTTTTTTACCTTCATGTGTGAATACGCTTTTCTTGTGTACACCTTATGGTCATTTGCATGTGACTGTTGTCCTCCATTTCACCTTCCATCTCTCCATCTTTCAGCAGTTCGCTAACAACCTTAATCAATTTAACTTCTCTTTCCCGCTTTGCTCTCTCTTCCTCCCTGACCTGTCCCCAAAAGAAAACACCTTTTAGAGTAGAATTGGACCTTTATTGTATTGCAGGGAATCGAACAGCGCTGGAAGAGAACTCGTATAGAAAGACTGCTTCGTTTCTGGGCTCTGTGGGGGCGTCGCTAGTCGACTTGGACGATCTATTTTCTTCTAACCCTAAACCCAACCAGAGTCCCTTCGTCAACACGCTCGTCACCCAAACACAAGTCATCGGTAAGGACAGAAAAAATGCTTCAGAATGGGTGAAAATCAACATCTTTGACGAAGGCTTCATGTGGAATTATCTGTGGTGCGTTTGATTCTAATGGATGCATGGTCAACCCCAAAGACTGAAAAATCACTGAGATGATACAAATCCGTAATTCCTCTGTGATGTTTCAAATGTATTCCACTACTCTTCAGCTGCAGTTCAGAGAGGGAGACTGATAGAGGGGTGGGGGACAGTATGAGTGACAAATACATATTTATCAATAGGTTTGTATGAAAATGTGTTTTGGACCAACCAACCCCCTACCCTGTGGTGTCACTGTATAATTTGTAATGTTGTGTGTGTGTGTGTGTGTGTGTGTGCATTTGTGACCTTTTGGAGTACAGTATATAGACTAGTGTATTCAAACCAGCAGATATTTAACTCTTCTCACCCCTCTCTCTGCTCTGGTGCATTTCTTTGCTGGAATACTTCAAACTATATATCCCTCCCCCCCATTCCTCCATCCTCCTATTACTCCTACTTATTTCACAGGCGCTTTCAAAGCCAGGGGCATGACATCTGGCCCTGTGGTCAGATCAGGGGCTGTTGCTGGACTGTCCCTTCCTGAAACATCAACCCCATACTGCAGTCCCTTCGGTCCCTCCTTTGCTCCGTCCTTTGTCGCACCTACTCCAAATTTTCGAGCCGCTTATCCTGCCAGGGAAACTCTCTTATTTCGGCCACCATCACATACCATGGGAGTGTCTCATCCTGGCTTAAATATGCTTCAAACAGCTCAGGTGGCTCCTCTGTGTTCAGGAACTGGAATGGTAAAATCACCTTCTGTGGGAGGGAGTCCACACATGGGGCTTAACATGAACCCCCTCTTTAGAGGAGTGGTGCAGTCTGGATCTCTGGGGAATCCATTGGCAGACCCCCTCTTATTGGGAACAGGAATGGGTCAGTCCAGTGTCTTTGGAGGGAATCACCTAACAGGCAATGCTAACATGGGAGGATCCACTGAAGGGGGGGGAGCCCCCTTCCAGCCACAGTTGCTCTCAGGCAGTGGGTCGGGTGAGACGGTGCACAAAAACAACAATCCATTCCTGTTCTGAAAAATGTACCTCTTTCCTGTCAAGCACTGTATTCAATGACGTTGAATGCATCAGTGTAGCAACCATTTTCCAAAATATAGCTCAAGGATTTTCAATTGCTTTCCCATGCATGTAACAGGCTGCCATGAGTTACAATTACCCTCCTGTGGGGAATTTTCCATCAGGATTTTTGTCATACTTATCCGATTTAAATATAGCATTCCTTTCAGGGACGGGAGGAGTGAAAAATCAGGCAGCCTGGAATTAGGGAAACATTATTAACCCTTTTGGTATACTTTTGGAAAAAGACCAGTAGTTAAAAGAATACAACTCTAAAACATGCATACCACTTGTGTGACCTTTAAATAAACCCAACAGCTCCTCCGTTAAGGCCTCCACACACTGGGGGGTTTGACACATTGACAATAGCTGAAATGTGAATTACTAGCCTGCTAATATTGTACAGTACTTTCTAGGGCTTTTATTATGAAAGGTAAGAACAAAAGGACTGGATCAGGTATGCGCTACCGTGATAGGAGAAAACAAATTTACACTTTTGGTTCAGTCAACCGAGCCGATGTGTTGCTGTTATAGTTGTTATTAATATAGGTGCAACTCAACCTGGACTGCACAATGTGTTTGGATGATTACCATTTTTCTGGGTGCAAAAGCTCAGAAATATTGAGGGATAGGGTGAGGGATCCGAAAAAAAAGACATTGCTTTTTTCTTGGGTAATATCGGCCTTCTGTGTAAAAATAGTTATGACAAAAAACAATAGTTTAAAATAACACTTAAACAAAAACACCCCCAGTGTGTGAATGCCGACTTGCCTACCCCTGAAATCTACACATGAGGGTAATGATAGCCATGACTTAAATGTAATGTATAAATAAGAACACACACAAAATATGGATGAAACTGCATACTTCCTTTCATGTAATTTATTGGAACAGCCAGCCGTAGTCTTTTCCATGCACTAGTCTGAGAAACGAGAGCACCTAATAATTGTTGATGTGGAAATACTGAAGAATAACTGTTGATGTGAGGGTTGACCTGTAAAACATTGGCAGAACTGAGGTGGGAAAGAAGTCCCTCTAGGCTCTCATTAAGTGTGTATGTGTTTGTACAAGGTGGCGTGTGTGTGACCTGCATGCACGCAGTGTGTGTGTATATATTGTTCTGTTGTAAATAGTGCAAGTAATCACAGATAAACCTTGAAATATACTGTATATTAGAGTGTTACAATCATGCGTAACTATTTATTAATCTAATGATTGATTTATGACTTAATTATTTATTGATGCAGCAATGGGCATCCAACAAAGTTCAGGTTAACCTCCATTACAGTGTCATCTTCACACGGGTTGACCTGAAGGTGTTGATTTTAAGCGTGATCGTCTTCAAACACTGCATTATCAATCAACTCGGTAACCAATGGTGGCTTTCTTTTCCCTGTTTATTTTTGTAGTCGTTCTGGATTCATTGTGTACTTGAACATTTCCCCACTGTACCTCCTACCATTTTCAAGTAACAGAAATGAAATTACTGTATGATTACAAGTTGCAGTATTGGCTGAATAAAAACCGAATTTGAAGAGCATACAGTGTGTGTGTGTGTGTGTGTGTGTGTGTGTGTGTGTGTGTGTGTGTGTGTGTGTGTGTGTGTGTGTGTGTGTGTGTGTGTGTGTGTGTGTGTGTGTGTGTGTGTGTGTGTGTGTGTGTGTGTGTGTGTGTGTGTGTGTGTGTGTGTGTGTGTGTGTGTGTGTGTGTGTGTGTGTGTGTGTGTGTGTGTGGTGTGTGTGTGTGTGTGTGTGTGTGTGTGTGTGTGTGTGTGTGTGTGTGTGTGTGTGTGTGTGTGTGTGTGTGTGACATTTTTTGGTGGAAGAATACACTGCAAGACAGTTTAGCTTCAATTAGTTATAGTATAGAGAAAGATAAGGGTGAGCTAGTCCTAGACACTACAGTTATTTAACTTTGTATCAAATGAATTTATTTTGCTTTGTATTTAAATGTAAAACTGTGATGTAAACTGTGACAGTATACAGATCATTTGAGAAATAAATTGATCAATAAGTTATGCACTCACTTGTATTCTGTAGATATTTTTTTTTCTCATTATTTCTTACATTTTACACTAAATTGCTTCTTATTTGTTGTGAATTTCTTAGAGTTCAACTCTGTCTTACAACCTTTAAAACATGCCTACTGTCACCACAAGGGGGCTATACATCATGTTTGGACACAACCTATTCCAGTCACTCCATGTGGAAAGCAGGCCTCATTTCCACTGTTTGATGCTAAGGTAATTTGTATACTATCCATAGCATTTGATTATAAATATTTTTAATTAATTAATTAAGCCACAACATTAAAAAAAAAAAAAAAAAAACAATCCTACTGGATTGGAAAAGGGAAATAGAAAAATATGATTTTTAACTTAAAAATGTGTCTATAATTTGCAACATGTGTTCTTGAGAAAATGTGGCAAGTTTGGCTTTTTGGAAGAAAGAAAAAGGAATTATTACTCAAAGCAAAGTATTTTTAGATGTCCTCAAAGACATCTGTAAAAAAAAAGGTCTGTAAAAGATTCAACTCAAGCTGTTTGTTTATGTCTGCATTCACTACATCTCCCCGTTCATTTATAGTGTGAATGGAGTGTAGTCAGTTAAGGTCACTACACATTTGGTTGAGAAGAGGAAGAAATTAGGATTGGCTGTTGAGCCGACTCAGCCTCCCAATGATGCAGAGAGGGCTTAGTGTCTAAAAACAGAAAATGCAAGAATGAGATTTTGACAGTTAGTGAGCATGTGTTACATTAGAACATAATGGTCAGATGAATCCTCGTGTTGCCTTAAGCAAGTCAGATTGCATTATCTTAACAGATACGTTCTTCCATTGAAATAGTTGCTGTAAATAGTCACTGCTTTTCTAAATCAAAATGTTTTTTTTCTCTCACCTGGTTTACCTTAGTTTTAACACCACAAACAGGTAAAGGGAAAAAAAACATTGAATTTATTGCAAGAGATCATTCAAAAAGTGTGTTAAAATACGTTGAGCGAATGTGGCCATGGTTGCTAATTTAAAAGGCCCATTACTTTAGGTAGCAACAAATTCTCATACATAATTTACAAAATGAACATCATGTTGTTGTGAAGAGGACTTACTACTAACAATTAAGTAAAATGCTTACTTTGGTAATCAACCAATATAGAAGTAGGGTCATTTTTTAATAGACTTCTATACAATCTGACTTCTTGCAACAAGTGAAGTCATAGAGTTGTGTAAGTTTAATGCAAGTCCAAATTGGCTTCACTGATCAGAACTTTGCCTAAATACAGCTTCAGACTCTTCAGACTGTTAGTTTTGATCAAATCATCTTGAAAAGTGAAAACCTAGAAAGTTTGAACAAAATGTTCCATGCTGCTCTTGCAGCTTACTTATTTTCCAATCAGGGATTCCCAACGCCTTTCAAGTCATGGGATTGCCTAAAGCCAGCAGCTGTACTCTTTTGTGTTAAGAAGGGTTGAAGTTAATAGAGCAGCACGGACCCTAACCACAACCCTTTCTATCACACTCATCTCGATCCAAGCTGTTCTTTACCATGGTGTCAGATTAATCACTATAGGACGAGAGGTCAGGCGGGTTATGTGTGAGAGGAGGAGAGATGAAGAAAACAAGAGAGAGGATGCTGTGGATGAATCTACAGAGTATAGGGAGCATTCGGGAGGGAAAGTAACAGATGGACTTGTGAGGATTAGAGAAATCTGGGTGGGTTTCTGGTGTAAACTGGACCAAGACGGAAGAGGGAGTGATGAGGGAGCGCAGAGGAAAGGTGAAGGAAACCGAATCCCTGTTCGAGAAGAGGGGAACTAAAGGAGTCTCAAACACAGTGAGTCCAGATACATTTTTGTGTTTTCTTTTGGCTGCACAAGTGTGAACTTAATCAAAAGTTGAGCTTGGACAGCAGCTGGATTTTTATAATCGCATGCATGTACAGTAGGGAGAGATTTCAGTTTACCATGATGAAGTATTCACTGTGAACCGCTAGCTGTTTTAAAGTGGAGAATATATTTGTGCTTTTGATGTCTCTGTAACTCATCCAAAACAGTGTGAGACAACCAAAACGTATTCCTAAAATCACTAAGAATGTTCTATTTGCTAGGATAGTAAAGTGGGCATGCATTGGTGTATCTGCTGTTGATACCAGGTGTGAGGAAACATTAAGTCTACACATGTTTGTAAGGTTCAAGCAGAGCAATAAAAGCCTCTACTGTACGGATAATAGTTTCACACCCGGAGATGATTTGATGGAACAAATTGACGCATGGTTAACCTAACCATTTATGATTGAAATGGTACTGCATTGTATCAGATGAAGTCTATGTGAGGGGTAAAAAGAGAGGAGAATTACTTTCTTTATTCAACTTTTATTATCCCAGAGTGGAAATTAAAAAATGTTCGTGTGCCATTAGTAAATCAAAACATTTCTTTTAGGTTCATTCTCTTTGTCCTGGTTACTCATTACACACTCATGCTGTGTTTAATTCTAGTTTGCCAAGATCTCAAATACGTCAGGCAAGTTACTGGAGTTAAAGCTAATGAGTAAAATGGCGAAAACTGTATGTTAGCGGTTTGTTTAAACTAATCTGCAGATATACCTCAAATTGCACTGCATGATAACAGGAAGCTGAACCATATTGGACATGTTGGCCAAACACTGTTCAGAAAACCTAGTAAAGAGGGTCATTTTCAACTTGTTGATTGAAAATGAAGTTGTATACACTGCCATGTACTTTTTTTTGTAACCTAGTTTGACAAGGTGCAGAATAAAGGCCTTTACACACCCACTCTGTTTAGTGCTATTGCTTTGCAAGCCAACATTTTTTTGTCATGAATACTTTTGCACAGAACGCGGATACTATGTGGCAAGAATGCGTAGTAGTTGTTTTTATAATAAGGGCGATTCTTTTTTAGCATCAGCGGAGTGAAAGGATTTGATTATTTTGCATTTCCCAGTGTTTATTTGTATAAAGAAGAAGAAGGACAGAGATAAGTGCCATGTTTAATTCCTAGGCATTGTCCTATTGTTACTTAGCCTAAACTGTGATTAAATAATCCTTTGAAAAACAAACAAAAAAAATACAAAGAAAGAAGTATTGAAGGTTTAATGTATCAACATACAATAATAATAAGAGTGTATTGGCAGGAGACTTGAACAAAGACTTTCACTCAACTGTTTATCTCTTAATCCAGATGTTTGCCTCTGTCTCCTTTTAGGTTGTCGTCGAGGCAAAGACAGCATGAGAGACAGTTTACATTAATACCATCTACCTAACCCTGCAAGATTACAACAGATTACCAGGCCCGGGAGTAGGCCTGAGAAACCGGACTAATCACTCCATTGTGAGCTCAATCCATCCTGAAGAGGTGGAGGAACAGGTTGGAGAAAGGGATGTTCCCTGAGAGCACAACATATAAGTCGCAATATCCTAATGACGAGATTTAGACGTTTATCTTCATCTGAGAGGAGTAAAAGTCTTAAAAACTCTGGGTCAAGATGGCTGAGGACACCTGGGGTAGAGTCACAGCTCAATGAGAAGAAATGTGTGGAGTCAAACGCGGCGCATGGCTCGTGCCGTAACATCAAGCAAGACAGAAAGTCTCTTACTTGAATCTGATGAACTTTTTCCTACTTGTTTCTCCACCTGAATCTGAAGCAGGAGGAGAGCTGGAGTTCCCCTCTGGCCTACACATCTGTCTCTTTCTCTTTCTTTCTCGCTGGAAGTGATTAAATCCCAACACTCCACTGTCCTCTGACCTCCGCTCATCGACTGTTCCTCAAGCCCCCTTCCCTTCCTCCATCTCTCCAGCCGACCTCTGGCTTTTGAACCACAATCATCCCTAATCCCTTCTCTCCCCTTTCACCCTCATTTTTCCTTCCTACCATCCTCCATGAATCAATCTCAATCGCCACAACAATCCGCCACGCTTTAAATTAACTGGTCACTGTGGTGTCACAGGATTCCCCTCGCTCCTCTCATCCTGATTGGTCCACAGAAGCTCTTAGGCTCTTCGAAACATTTTTGAACGAAGATACATTTTCTAAGTGAAGTCGAAGCACTCCCTGGTCCTTCATTCTTTCTACATAAGGTCCTTTGTTAAATTGAGAAGCAACAATGCTGGAGAACATGTCCAGACGTAACCGCTCCCTGCTGTCCCTTTCCCTCACCTCATTGGCCCTCACCCTGTCCGTCTTGGCGTTCTGCACCTCCTATTGGTGCGAGGGAACGCACAAGGTGGTGAAGCCCCTCTGCCTGTCCCCTGTCAAGTTGAAAAACTGCGGGACGAACAACAGCCAGCCGTATACCACAGGTGAGGCCAGGAGTTAGTTTCAATTTCAATATGGCTGCCGCTGAAAACCAGATGCGGACAAACACAAGTATTGATTTGGTGATTTACAATCCTGTATGTTATCCTTAAACTGTTCTTAATTTACTAAAAAAAGTCTGTATGTTGATATTTCAACAAATTGCTTCAGGTCAAAATCCATCTTCACTAGAGTCAATCTTAAAATGGGATCACACCGTAAAGTGGGTTGGCCAATGCCCCTTCCCCACTTACTACCCTCTTACTTCGGGCCCTTTAGCCCGTACCACACCCATCTTCAACTTCCACCTGTATATTGATATCAAATACAATTTGTTGTGACTGTATCTTACATGGTTGTAAAGCTCTTACAAGTGTCTAAATCTTTCAAGGGACACACACACAGACTCACAAGGTAAAAACAATTCCAGCTTCGCTATCGTGGCTAGCAAAAATGCTATATTTGTCATAGACTTAAACAGTCTGACATATTTATCCTATGGGCTATGTGTAGTTCACTTGACAAGTTTTACCAGAATATGCAGATTGCTGATTTTTTTAAAGAATTATCAAAACAAATCAAATAAAAACTGCTAATTGATTAAGAGTTGTAAGCTTTGAGTTGGCCTTTCTTTTTTATTTTATTTATTTTATGTAAATTACAAAGCTTGTTAATGCTCCCTCAACTCAAGTGCAACACACAGTAAATAAGCAATACTAATCTAAACACTTTCTTCATGTTAAGTTTAAACTCAAATTGAAAGTTGACTTGATTTTGTTTACTTTTATGAATGTTGAAATGAAACCAAAAGTCTCAAATAAAAAAGAGGCACTTATATGCTGCCATCATCTTCTGTTCAATGCTGCTGTAATTAAAGCTGCATTCATGCAAAAATAATTGTACACATGTCGAATAGAGATATGTACCTTTAACCTCCTTTATACATGTGAAGGCAACATGTATGTCACTATTAAAAATGCCGATACTTCACTTCTAAGAACATCTGGCATGGAATGTTAATAATGTAGAATAACGATTTATAGTTCCATATATTGTAAACACTAATCTACTGCAGGATTTGGAGGCGTCCACAGTATTGTCCTTGCACCTCATATTCAAGTATTTTACCCTCGACTTGGCCGACAGAGATTCACATAATCCCGGCTTTGTTGCTAATCTCAGAACTTTGTATCTGTGACTGCATGTTATCTGGCTTCACTGACCCGCTGTCTTATCTCTCCGCACTAAGTCTATTTGTTTTCATGTAGAATTCAATTTTCCCTCCATAGAAAATGACAGATTACCTAAAGAACAGTGTTACAGAGCAGGATTGCGTTACACTGTGTAACCCAGTAGACCCCCTGTTGGGATTTATGCCACAGTTTCTTGGCACACTGGCTTTAAAATGAATCCCAAACTGTTTTATTGATGAAGATACTATTTCTAAATGCATCTTTGCTCCTTTTTATGCACCTCTACTCTCTTTATTTCAATTTGATTTGTTCAATGTATCTCAATTTCCCCCTCTTATTATCACTCTTTGTCCCATTTATTCACCATCCAGAGAACCCCACCCCCGACCCGAGGATACCCCCCACCAATGTGACGCTGTCTCCGCTGCAGAAGGAGGAGCTGGCCAGGTTAAGGAAGAAGCAGTTGGCCAACGCCGTGCACTACATCTGGGAGACGGGCGAGGACAAGTACATGCTGCGATACTTCCACACCGGCTTCTGGCTCTCCTGTGAGAAGCACAATGAAGGTATGTATTCAAATGAATGTGAATACAGGACTAAATTCTCCATTACAACTCATTTTCCCCTCCCAAAAGTCCTTCTCTTCAATATCCTACGTATTTATTATCAGCATAAATTATGTACTTAAAATATAAAAGATAAAAATACTTTTAGTACTAAACAGCTTCTGCGACTCACATATAAGGTATATTATTATATAAATATACTATACTTATGCATTTATATATATCACTTTTTCCAGTCTCTGCGACCCCTTAAAGCGCTTTTACACCAGATGTCAGAATTCACCCATCGGCAGTCGTACACATACTGTATATGCTCAGATGAAACTAATATTGACATGCCATCGGGATCTCAACCCATGCCTTTGGAAACAATATGGTGTTAAGTATTTTGACACATTGACATGTTCACTGCAGGGGCTGGGGATCAAATGACCATCAATGTTAGAGCAGAATTGTACTGTTGTAGCTGCTTGAGGTGGAGCTAGTTTGAACTACTTCATAAACGGGTAACTGCTGGCCTACAGTGGTTACAAACATAGGGCAAAATGGTCAAAAGAGACATTTTGGAGGTCATGAAATGATTAATGGGGTAAGGAAGAAGAAAAAACTAAGTTCTACCTCACAAATTTACATTTATTGTTTTGCACTTTCTCTACTTTTGTCCTTGAAAAGTGATTCATAAAGAAAAGGTCTCTTATTGGTAATAAACTCATGGACAAATGAAATGTCAATCACAGGTCACAGCCCAAAAAGTTTGAAACCAGGGATGTTGTTTTTTCTAAAACACAGGAATTGTTCACAGGGGACCTGCTCTCATTTTCCCATGTCAAACCATGAGCCTAGCATTTTCTGCTGAGGACCTTTTTTGGTTTTACGCCCCATCACTGTGTCACATGACATTATGTCCATATCTTATTTTAACCCAAAATCAAACCGCAACGCTTCGTCACGTGACGCAACCTCCCCTTTCCAGTTGGGACACGAAGTAGGAATGAGATAATGTACACAATTACTCCTTGTCAATAGATCCAGTGTCAATGGAATTATTGTGACTAGAAAGTGTTTGAGTCAACGCAGATTATTGACTGTTAATCCTCTCTTGAGTACTCAATAATGAGGATACTTTGTAAAAGCCTACAGCCACAGAACAAATGTATGTACAATAACTGTCTGGTACTGATTCAGACTGCCGGGAACATCTGTTTGAAGAGAAACAAGCTTACATGTTTATTGTACACCAATTTAATGTTAATGCACCATCTGCTACAGAGAGAAGACCACAAACCAATCGTCTAACTTAATCAAACCTGCTTAATTTACTACCACTATTCGGTTTACTGCTGTTCTTTCATGGTCAAAATATCTTTAAACTGTGGTGATGAAATGGAAGCCACACAGTATGCAACATTATTCAGACTCTCCTCAAAACTAGCACACATTATGAGAGAAGTCATGCACAGAGACAAGCTTATGTATCCTGGAAAGAAAAAGTAATCACTGGCATGCATTGTTCTCACCAGAAGACACTGTGGTTGGTAGATTTCAGCGGTTTGACCTTTAATTCTCCCTCCCACAGGGATGTGAACTATTGGGCTTAATTAAGGCAACTCTTATTAATACGGTGTTGTATGAAGTATAGACGTACATTCTCAGCGGTTGTTGGAGAGTATTTACGTCACTGTGCACCAAAAACCTATATATTGGAGATGTACCATAAGGCTCTAATCCTTATGCTTCTTTATGAGTCTATAAGGACAAATGCATTTCGCTGTTATCCTCTAAATCAGTGTTTCTCAAATGGGGTATGTGTGTCAAAGGTGTTTAGATTAATACTACGATTTTGGCCCTATAATATGTTTAATGAACATTTTAATATTGAATGACGGAAGAAAATCAAGGAAATGTATAGGTAGTTCAAACATAGCAGAAGGACAGTTGAACACACGGAGAAATAAGTAACATTTCTCCAACTGAATTGACAATGCAACTAATGGGGGTAAAAATACCCTACAACTACATTAACGTCTCAGTGTTATTGCATGATAGCTACAAATGATTAGAGGTGTCTTCAAAACATACATTGAGGGTGCAGCACAAAAATGTTTTACGCAGGTAATCGAGCACTTTCAGGGTACATTATTGAAAAAAGTTTGAGAAACACTGCCTTAAATGTTAATTGACATTCAATTCAAGTATAATACATTTTACGTGGTTACATTTTGAAGACAAACATTTACCTTTTTTCAACAACTAACTCAGATGTTTCTCACCGTCAAGATGTCGATTCATGAGCTCTGTTGTGGTTGTTCTTCCAGGTGAGGATCAGGAGGAAAAGTGTCGCAGCTTCATTGAGCTGACACCAGGAGAGACACAAGGTCAGTAACAGGAAACAGAGACAATATAACCTCTATTCCTATTTACATTTCACAGCCAAACATTCAATGTATTCAGAAGTATCACCCTGTGGAAAAAGCATCACATTCAAAAAGTATTTAAGTATTATCAGTGAAATATACTGATAGTATGACAAACTGTGAAACTTTTTTTTTCTATATAGTCCTAACTGTCTGTGTTGTACCATCACATGATGCTTTGAGCGAAAAAATGTCTGCTGAATTATGTGGCATTTCAACACTGATAAGCTCTTTTAATAATTAGTTTAGCTTAAGAAGTGGGATAATCCTCTCAACACAAACATACAAACACAAACTCTAAATTTGAATATATATTAAAAAAAATATGAAGCATAACATTCTTGGTCTTGTTTGCTTGTCATTGACAGGTTAAGTGTTATAAGCAGTGGTGAATAGTCTAATAAATATAAAATCATTGCCAGTGTTATCATTTGCAAGTGTGTATTTGTTGTAATAATGACGAAATCATAATACATTTCACAGTAATTATAATAAAAAATAAAAACGATTTCCTTAACCTGTTTCACACCATCCCCCCGGTACCGGGCGGATAAACGCGTCATTTGCAGGAAACAACGTCTAAGGAATCTTAATATTGAATAAAACTATGAATGTGTTATATCCATGTAACGGGAAGAAACTCAGCTAACTGATCTTTTTAATTTTTTTTTTCAAAAAAAACCCACAATGCTAGCACTCAGCCTCTGAATTAGCCTCGATCGAAAAAACGGAACCTACAAAGGCACTTAAACTCACTCATAACTCCCTTATTACTTATCCTAGATGCACAGCCAACCACTCGTTTTTGGTGTCCTGGAGACACTGAATCTGTGTAAAAAACCTCAACACTCAGTGATAAACATTCGCGACGCTATAAACGAAAGCGTAAATCATCACATGTGGAGCTAAGTAGCTAACAAACGTAAATATGGCTTACCTTGGTCAAAAGTGGTCTTCAATGGCATTAAAACGATAAAAAAACGATGCTGCAGTTAATCCATAGGTTCATCCTATGTGTCTGTGCCTTCTTTGAAATTATTTCTGATAATCCATAAGCAATACAACTGCGTTTTAGTTTCCAAACTCCAGAAGGAGACATTCCTCCACTTTGGTTTCGTTTTCCACACACGAAGCGCCCACATTTTTTCTTTACAACGTGTGTGTGAGTGGGCCTCCCCCTTCGATTCTATTGGCTCTAACGGTCACAAGGGTATGTCAACCAACCAAATCGACCAAGGGGGGCCAGAGATAGGTCAAATCCACCCAAATGACCCCAAAAGTGGGGGTTTTTGGCTAAATCTCTCTAAAAAGGTCAAATTTCACTTGTTTTGCATCAATCTTGATACAGGGTACTTATTATATGTTGTACTTTGGATTCCTAAAGCTTTTAGTCTACTAACCCATCATCCAAGGGTAGTTTTCACTATCTGTAAAAAATAACTTTTGGACGGACACTATAATTTACAGTTTTTTACTATGTAAAATCTGAATTTTCTTTAAAATAAAAAACATTTATATTGATTCTGACACTTCTACATCCAACTCACAGGTTTATCATTACTTTGAGAACAAAGATTATTAATTTAACCCTTTTAGAAGGGAAGATATGGTCATTTGTTCTGGGAATGTCATTTTCGAGCCTGAGACCTGAAAAACAGGCTCAGAGTGGAACAGCTTTAAAAGATTATGATTTGTCATCACGCTCGTGACCCCAGGTTGACACCACCAGCTCGCCGTCCGCCGATTTTGCAGCAGCTCTTTCCCTCAAGAACGCAAACTAAACAGCTCTATAATGGCAGGCAAAAAAACGTTACTTGACTTATTTTCTAAAAAGAATATCATTCACGAGAAGAAAGAGGCTAGCAGCACCGAAGCTAAATAATTTAATTTCAGGACAACTTTGGGAATTGAGTTTGTTTGTTATGAGTTTTAAATAGATTTTGAAAGTGGAGATAGAGAGAGAGAGAGAGAGAGAGAGAAGCAGCGCTGTCTGCTTAGTTGCAATACTGTAGCTCAAGCATTTATGCAACTTAGGCCTATAAATTGTTTATGTAACTTATGTGCCGGTGTGTCCATGGTTTTGAGTCTGTGTGTGTGTTGAGCGCAGCGCCGTCTACTTTTTGCAGTACAGTAACTAAAGTAGGACCGGTAGTTTCTGTAGCCCTGTCTGCCCGTTTTGCGTGCGTTCTTGTGGCATTGTTTGGGTTGACCTAATTAAAATAGCGTCCACACAGTAAACAAATCCCCACTACACCACTGGTTATAAGGGTTGCACATTTTTTTCTTTATGCTTCCAGGTGTCCTCTGGCTCTCAGTCATCAGTGAGTTCACGTATATCGGTCTTCTGGCCATGGGCTTCCTGCTCATGTGTGTGGAAGTGATTTGCCTCTGTGCCAAGAGGGAGATGAACGCCCTCAAGATCAACGCCTACGCTGCCATGTGCACTGTCCTCTCAGGTGAGGAGGTTCTTGTAAAACGTCTCTCTTGTTTGACCTTTCACAGCATCAAATATATAGTTAAAAGCATTTTCCAAACGTGTTAAGGTCCTTACACACCAAACTGACACCAAAGAACACCAAAGAACACCAAAGAACACGTCCCGACAGAACGTCGCCTCACGTCGCCTCACGTCGCCTCACGTCGCCTCACATCGCCTCACGTCGCCTCACGTCTCCTGCGTCTTGGCCATGTTTCGCACTGGAACACACCGCAAAGACTTCAGCCGACGGCCAAGTCGCACGTACGAACTGTGCATGCGTCAGTGGCAATAACTCTCCTTACCAGCAAGCGTCGGTAGTGTGTATTTGTCATTCAAAAGAGGCAACAACCGGAAGACAGACTGCGTGATACACCGAGAGAAGAAGAACAGACTGCGTGATATATACAAACAACAAATAGCGTGTGCGTTCCATTTTCACTCTACAACAAGAAGCTCATGGGGCTTTCCCGAACCTGTGTCGAGAGCTGGAGTTAAATGAAATCTCAGATTTGCCTTCTTAATAGTTTGTTTGGGTCCCTCACTTCTATTTCGCTTCTCATGCACTGATTCGCTAAGCTGAACGAACAGCCAATCAGAGTGATTTCTTTGGCCGACGGCCTTTGGCCGACAGCCTCCCGATTCAACGGCCCAATCCCAAACCACGCCCTCCACCCTACCCCTACACACTCCCCCTCCGTGACGGAGTGAACTCCGTGGAGTGACACTCGCAGCTCAACGTGGCTCCCTCCTGTCAGATGGAGGGAGTAAATACAGCGGCAAGCTTTGGGACAAACTCCCCTCTCTCCGGCAGAAACAGGAAATGCCGTAACTGTATGTAACAACGGTTTCAAATCAGCATCTCTTGGACAACAAATTCAAATGAATAACTCAAATAAAACTCCAAACATCTTTCATTGTGTTACTTTTTTGTAAAGCTCTTTTAGTTTTAAACCTGATTTTTATAAGCTTCTTAGTTTTTGCAACAGTCTGTAAATATACACAACTTTATAATAAAATGCACACATTTACCTTTTTCTAGACTAAACACAGGTATGATCCTAAGTAAAAAAAATATGAGGTTATCATGAGGTTGTTAACATCGCAATTTATCAGTGGATGTTTGCTGGAACTTCTTGTTGACAGCGTGTTTCCTGACGGACACACACAGCGTTGAGACCGGTCAGGTAGAGACCGGTCTCCAGTCAGCACCGATGCAAACGAGTGTGGAGCGGTGTGGAGGGGGAGTGGGTTATCAAGCCATCAAACAGCGAGTCTGCATCGGTGCTGACTGGAGACCGGTCTCTACCTGACCGGTCTCAACGCTGTGTGTGTCCGTCAGGAAACACGCTGTCAACAAGAAGTTCCAGCAAACATCCACTGATAAACTGCGATGTTAACAACCTCATATATTTTTAACTGAGGATCATACCTGTGTTTAGTCTAGAAAAAGGTAAATGTGTGCATTTTATTATAAAGTTGTGTATATTTACAGACTGTTGCAAAAACTAAGAAGCTTATAAAAATCAGGTGTAAAACTAAAAGAGCCTTACAAAAAAGTAACACAATTAAAGATGTTTGGAGTTTTATTTGAGTTATTAATTTTTATTTTTTGTCCAAGAGATGCTGATTTGAAACCGTTGTTACATACAGTTACGGCATTTCCTGTTTCTGCCGGAGAGAGGGGAGTTTGTCCTAAAGCTTGCCGCTGTATTTACTCCCTCCATCTGACAGGAGGGAGCCTCATTGAGCTGCGAGTGTCACTCCACGGAGTTCACTCCATCACGGAGGGGGAGTGTGTAGGGGTAGGGTGTAGGGCGTGGTTTGGGATTGGGCCCAAGACACACCAATCTGAGTAGGGCGACACGACGCTCATCGACGGCCCGACATCTATCGACATCTATCGACGCCAAAAATCGGCTTGGTGTGTAAGGACCTTTAAACATATTCTTTCTTCCTTTTGTCTTTTAAACTTAATCTCTGCCTTTTTTCGTCTAACAGGTCTGATGGGGATGGTAGCACACATGATGTACACTACGGTGTTTCAGATGACTGTAAGCATTGGTCCTAAAGACTGGAGGCCACAGACCTGGGACTACGGGTGGTCTTTTGCGTAAGTTTCAATTTTATCCACTCCCAAAAATCCCACTTCAAGCTTGGCCACAACCAGCATTTAAAACTGTTTATATTCTATCAAAATTAATTAATGAACTCATGTAGATTCAAGATTAAAATTCAAAGGTTTATTGTCATAACATATACAAAACTACGGTGTAGTTATGTAATGTATGAAAAACATAGATCGAAGGTTCCTAAACAGTGCAAATTACAGACATTAAAACAAGTATATAAAAAACAACAATAGCCTACAAATAAAAATAGTGCATGGTCAGGTTTTTAATAGTCTTATGTAGAGTCTTATGGTTGAGGGCAGTGCAACTGCCATACCAGGCCATGATGCAGCCGGTCAGGATGCTCTCTGCGCTGCACCTGGCATGTATTGCTGCCATAAAAAAAATGTAGCCACTAAAAGACAGTTGGTAACTCCAAAATGTAAGAAGCTATTGTAACTCATTGTCCTTGTGTGCAAAATAAATATCACAAATACATGTATAATCTAGTAGAGGTCTAAATTGATGGATGGGTCCAAAAAACAGGACTTTTTCTCAGGAGACTGCTGTTTGTGTTTGTGATAAGTAGACATTAACTTTAGTTAACTTGCGTAATGTTCTTATCTTAATCATGAACACAACTGATATCACATAACAAACTATATATATCATTATATTTTCCTGAGCCAAACCACGTAGTTTTGTTTCAAATCAATATGGCCCCATCATTGTATTTAATTTGTCTGTGCATAAAAACTTATCCTGTGCCACTTTTGTTGTAACCACGCCTTTAAACAACAACTTGCATTGGCCTGTCATGTTATATAATGTGTCATACTTTTTCCAAATGTCCTCCCTCACCAGCATGGCCTGGCTGTCCTTCAGCTGCTGCATGGGGGCCGCGGTTGCCACGCTCAACTCTTACACCAAGACCCTCATCGAAATGAAGCATCGCGCCCGCGTGAGGCTGGACGAGGCTCGTGCTGCTGCCTGCGCCCCCTCCTACGAGGATGTGGTTCGAGCCGGCGGTGGAGGCCTTTTCTCCGTCAGTCAGCTGATTCAGCTCGGCCAGCATGGGGCGCTCATGGACCCTCTGTGGCCCAGAGGAAAGGGACCGGCTGTCGGCCCTCTGGCGTGCGGCGCGGGGGGAGCGCTGTTTGTTGGTGGAGGAGGAATTGGGGTTGGAGGGATGGGAATGGGAGGAATGGGAGGAATGGGAGCAACAGGAGGAGCTGGGGAAATGGGAGGAATGGGAGCAGTAGGACAAGGTGGGGGGATGGGGATGGGAATGGTGGGTGTCGGAGGTAATTTAGTTGGAATGGGAGGAATGGGGATGGGAGCAGTAGGAGGAATTGGGGGAATAGGTGTAGGGATAGGAGGATTGGGAATGGGAATGGCAGGAGGAATGGGAGCTTTTGGAAGAGTTGGAGGAAATGTAGTTGGGATGGAAGGAATGGAAGCGGTAGGAGGAATGGGGGTAAGTGGAATGGCAGGGGAAAGGCTGGAGGACCCTCATGGTGTGGTGGTGGTGGAGGGATGCTGCGTTGAAGGATGTGAAGACTGTGAACGGGAGATGGACGAAATGGATTACTCTCAGCAGGAGGAAAGAGACGACTCGCTCTGCTAAGACTATAAGCGCAGAGGACATTATCTCATCAGGATTGTCTCTACACATTGTTGTCTTCAACTACATTCCAAGACCTCAAGACTTGAACAATACCTTCTGAAATATTTCGTTTCTTTTGTAAATAAGCAGTTTTAAAATGATTCTTGTAACATTTCTAAACTGTTTTGGCATAAGCATTTCAAGATGTGACATTTGATGTATTGAATTGACTAAGGGGCAAAGAAATCTCAAATTCACAGACACGTCTCCAATGGACCGTTGGTTTCTCATGTTGTTACAGCTAACAAGTTAGCGGAGATTTGCCTTCTTACAGATCCAGCATTATCCAAGATTATCATGGTTTGCAGTCTTTTCAAACCTCTTCCATTATAAGGAAGGTTGGTAAAAGTGGGGAGACTACCATGAAGTCTGTGTGAAGCAGGAGATGCTATTTACTTTTTTTCTTTTTAATTTATGTTTGCATGTAAAAAGGGATAAATAAATGCAAAAAACATTGTCTGAAAATGTCTTACGTGGAATCTGTAAGTATCACTTTAATGTTGAGATACTTAGTAACAAAATGCAATTGAAGTAGGACATAATATCAACTTTAAAGAGTTATAATGAAACACTGGTGTGAATGACTTGAAACAGTTACTAAAGGACATGTAAAAGTAAATGTTAACATTTCTAAACTCAGCAGGCCATGACACTCTCATGGTTAAATCATCAGTACGAGCAATATGTAACTTTTTTTCTATTTATATAAACGAAAGATAAAGAAAAGTAAATAGATAATAAAAGATTAAAGCAACAGAGAGATTTAGGCTTTAAGACAGATGCTTTCCAATGCTGGACAGAAGATTATGTCAATAATCTCCGCATTCAGGGAAATAAGACTGAGCAGGGTTGGGGAGGAGAGAGATAGAGATTGCCATAATATAGGCGAGGGGGAGATAAACTGAGTTGCCAGGTCACTGCGCATGTAGAAAGTAATTAAAAATGTAAATGAAGTTGAATTATACAACAGTTTATCTAAAATGAGCATATCAGGCCATTTGTCTCTGAGGTGATTTAGTTCAAGCAACTTCACCTAAGACACATAAAGGGGTTAGTTCAACATTTTGATCAGGTGTTAAATATATTAAAAGGAACACATGTTGCAGGATATTTTCATAGTATTTGTTGTGTGGATACAGTTACTTATTCCAATGTTCCTTCCAGTAACATAACTGTGGCATTAAAGGAAAAAAGAAATATTATCTGATGTAATTTATATACAATGGGTGAGGTAGGTGAAAAGCAAGACTCATGTTATAAAACAATAACGTAATAACATAAGTGTGTTTTCAGATCATTGACCATCTAGAAAAGACATTTAAATAGTGTCCCGGTTGCCTTGGATAATCCACCAAATGTTAAAGTAAACAGTAAAAATGTGCTCCTAACCAAAGCTGGGGCTATGTGGCTTATCCTTCCGACAACCGTTTTTAAATTAAATTCATCTGCTGTTGGAGGTTGATTTGTGAAGTAAAAAATGGGTTTACTTCGATGAAATGTAGACCAACGTTATTCGCACCAAGGACAGCAAAGATGGTATAAAAGAAGTGGACAACAGCCAACCTGTCAACACCTATTGGTGTGGACCACAGTTCTGAAGCCTTGAATTTAGCATGGTTCACATTTGTAGTTTTGAGTCAAATATCTTAATAACTATTGGATGAACTTTACCATTACATTACATTTCATTTAGCTGACGCTTTTATCCAAAGCGACTTACTGTACAATTAGTGCATTCAACCATGAAGAAACAAAATCAAAAGCAAGAATCCTGCAGGTACATTTCCTATCTATAAGCCCAAGATTAAGTGCTACTGCATTAGCTTAACCTAAAGCCAAATCCTTTGTAAGTGCTACGTACACAAGAGAGTTTTGTTCTTATATGAGCAAAGATGCAGGCAAACAGGTGAGTTTTCAGTCTGTGACGGACAAATTCTAAATTTAAATAGCAAACATGCCACACATTACTTCGTAAACATAAGCATGCATCATTTTCATTGTTAGCATGTCATTAGGCTAATGTTAGCATTGAGCACAGAGAAGTTTAGCTGCTAACATAGCTGTAAACCCTCCTTAGCGCAGGGGTCTTCAACTATAACATTGTACAGTAGGGTGGCCTAAATTGCATAATCATTCCTTTTTACCTATACACAATAATAAGCTGTAAGAATATTAGTACGCAGTCACTTGTTTGCTGTATTTAGCTTAGGTTTGCTAGCTCACGTGATTGCACAAGGTGTCATGGTTTTCAGTAACTCAGAACATTGAGAGCAACACAAAAAACAAAAAAGAACTTGTGACAATTAACGTTTTCATGGTTTTTATTTATTGGGTAAATCCAGAACCAACACTTAGTTTTACATGCTGTTTTACAACAAACCTATTTCCAGTATCCACCAGTTTACTAAACATGTACGATCGTGCCACATGGACAGATTCAACACCATATAAGACAACAATAAGAAGGGTACAGTTGCTGCACTTACATGTTGGACAGGGTTTAAAAAAAAACATCCCAGGCTAAAAAGAGAGACAATAGAAACCAGCATTGGTGACCCAGATAAAAACAACATAGTTCATGGTAAATATACCTCAAAGCAGAAGAAGATAAATATTTCCCCCATATGTTTCCAAGTGGATTTTGTTCAATTGTTGTTGTCAATGTTGGGTCTCTTTCTTTCTTCCTTAGAGCTACAAACAACGTAATTATTGCTGTTTCACAATCTACTTTGTCATACATTGTTAGCAGCATGGCTATCGCAAGCAACCTGGCTAATGCTAGCTTGCTGTCCAAAGCAAGAAACAGTTATATCAATTATCATTTGAAACGGAAACACCGATCTCAGTGCTATGATAAAGGCATAGTAAGCTAAATACTGAAATGTTATTGCCACTTCAACACAAGTAAGTGACATGTTATATTACACATCAGTATATGTTCTTAATTCCTGTAATGATGTGTGCCTACTTTCTTGTAAATTTGACGAATAGGCTTATTTCAGCAAAATATGAATTTTCTTTATTTGTCGGAAAGTGTAAACTAAGCCACGTGTATTGATCATTATTGCCCTCTACCTCATGGTAGAAAGACAGTACTGACCTAGTCGTTTTTAACATTATTTAATTTTCTGTATGATAAAGAAAATGTTTGTACGAATGCAGCAGAAGAAATGTTTTAAAACCTCGGAGGAAATTCTGCATCGTTATTTAATATTGAACACTGGGGTTTTTTATCGTCTCACGTGCCGTGTGTCCACATTTTATGAAAGTGCTGTCAGGTGTAATTGTATCAGCTGAGTGAAGGGTTAAGTGGAAATGACAGAAATGGAGAGGGTTACAATGAATATGTCAAAAGGTTACTTCAGAGGTGTATACTGAATCAGACGAAGAGCGTCTTCATTGTCCATCACTCCCTGGATAAACTCGCCTTCTGCTACTCGATCTGGAAGCAGAGAAGGGAACAAAAGACGTTTAGTTCATGTTATTGAAATTAGAGACACTTCTTAAAGGTTTTAAGGGGGAGGAACTGGAGCACTGAATAATTGGCAGTGTGCAAACAGATCAACATTTGGCCAGGATTGGAGATGAATCAAACCCTGAAACCAGGGGTCAGAGTTTAATTGTGTTCAACTTTGATCTGCAACGTTTCTAATCTTTATACATCTTTGGATCGAGCTGTTTAGGAAAAATAAATCATTTTGGCTGTTGAATGGGCAGTGCAAAATCTATCATAGAACAAAAGCACAAAGTTGTAATCACCTCACATTTATTCATACATGTGTCCATTTACACTATTGTATCTCACCATTGTCACCCTTGTCAAAGAACGTCCAGAGTTTGTCTGCCCTCTTTTCAGCTGTGTTTTCATCCGAAGGTAGAGCAGACAGCTCATCTTTAGGAATCAGCTTGAAAATAGCCTGTTTAGGGAAAATCAGAATACACATACTGGTCAATGAAAGAGAGGCATTCAGCGTCTATGTATCTCACATTTGACCTTTCTATGTAACAAGACCAACAAGCTCTTCGGCTCTTTGTTCGGTGGTTATATGACCTTTTATCTTTTGGTTAAGAATACATCTTTACAAACAGATTCTGCCTATGAATTAAGCATTACTTTTGGTTCTGGAAGTGTCTAGTTTCCGTCTGTAGTGTAGTATGAGTAGAATTTACCAATCATGTTTGATCAGACTTACATTTAAACATTCTGTGGGGCAAATTCGAACCCAAGGCAATTTGTCTTTTTTTTTGCTGAACATTTGCTTGAATTTGGCTATTTGTAAAATACTGAGATCATAGATGTCTTCTTTCAACTCCAACTCCATTCTCGCATTTTTAGTTGCCAACCGGACTGTGAACAATGAACAGCACATATCCGCTGGCCACACAGGAACTATAGAAATACAGCCTCTTTCACCTGGAGCCTTAACATCAAAAGCAAATGGGTTCCGAGATTGGCTACATCAGATTTTCAAATCTCCAAGAAAAAAGGGTATATTCACATATTTGGGATTGAGTGATAAACTGGCGTTTAAAATATATTAAACTGGTGATTGTCTTGTCTATATTACTTTCCTTTCTCCAAAACTCACCGCACAGATTTCTTTAACTTCTGACTTGGTGATGTATCCATTCTTGTCCACGTCGAACAGGGAGAAGGCCCACTCCAACTTCCTTGTGGTCTTCCCTGTTGATGTCATGTGGAGAGCGATGATGTACTCCTTGAAGTCCAGTGTGCCATCATCATTTGTGTCGAAGGAGCGGAAGACATGCTGTGCGTATGTTTGGGCGTCACTTTCTGGGAAGAACTTTTCGTAGATACGCTCAAACTCCTCTTTTGAGATGCGCCCTGTTGGACACTGCTTCTTGAAGTTGTCATACCACTGGCTGATTTCAGTCTCTGTGAACTTGGTGTTGAGTTTCAGGTCCTCCAGAATCTCCTTGGACACAATGCCGCTCTTGTT